AAAAAAAAAAAAAAAAAAAACAGAAATACAGAAATATAGTGTGGCTGTAAAATGAGAGAAGTAGAAAGTGTGGAGGTACATTTAATTAAATGATTTTTAGAATCCAGTTTTATTCATTCAAGAAATATTTACTCTTTGGTTCAATTCATTCACTTCAGAGAACAAAAAAAGAAAAAGAAAAAAAAGAAATATTTACTCAGTGTTCATTTGTGCCAGACACTTGGACATTTTCTCTGCTAAAATGAGAATGGACTTCACAGATGAAAAAATAAAGGCATGCTTCAACTTTAAGGAATTGCAATATATAAACATGCAAATTCACCTTTAAACGTTTATGTCATTTCTTTGCCTTACAAAAAGATTGGTGTCTGGGTTAAAATGAAATTTGATTTTCCAAAACATACTTCAGAGCTTTTCAGAAACAGTTCAGTTCCACAGATATTGACCAGATCCCTTCCGATTCTTTGCTGGGTTCTGACTGAGCACTGGGGTAAGCCTGGAGCTCATCTCGTGGGGGGAGAGTAAACTAGTGACTGCCACTCAACACAGCCCAGAGGGTGGACCTTGTTCCTAGGTCCATACTGAGTTGAATAGTGTCCCTCTAAACTTCTTGTCCACCTGGAATCTGTGAATGTGACCTTATTTGGAAATGGTCTCTGTAGATATAATTAGTTAAATTAAGATGAAGTCATACTAGATTAGAGTGGGCCCAAATCCAGTGATTGGTGTTCTTAAAAAAAGGCCAGGTGTGGTGGCTCACATCTGTAATCCCAGCACTTTGGGAGGGGGAGGTGGGCGGATCACTTGAGGTCAGGAGTTCGAGACCAGCCTGGGCAAGACAGTGAAACCCTGTCTCTACTAAAAATACAAAAATTAGCTAAGCGTGGTGGTGGGCACCTGTAGTCCCAGCTACTTGTAAGGCTGAGGCAGGAGAATCACTTGAATCTGGGAGGCGGAGGTTGCAGTGAGCCAAGATCACACCACTGCACTCCAGCCTGGGCGACAGAGTGAGACTCTGTCTCAAAAAAAACAAAAACAAAAAGTCACCAAGAGACACATAGGAAATACCGTATGAAGACAGAGGCAGAGGTAGTAAGAGTGATGTTTCCACAAGCCAAGAAATGACAGAGACCACCAGAAGTTGAAAGAGTCAAGGAATAATCCTCCCCTTAAACTTTTGGAGGGAACAGGGCCCTATCATACCTTGATTTTGACTTCTGGCCTCCAGATGTATGAGAGAATAAACTTCTGTTGTGTTAAGCCACCTGGTTTGTAGAAATTTATTATAGAAGATTAATACAGGGCCATTGAATAAAATGGAGTATATTGAGAATCTATGATGAGTTAATTTTTCAGCAATCTGATGCTACAGATAGTTAATATTATCCCTAATGAGCAATAATCAAGCAGAATTTGACTGAACTAGGCCAAAAGGTTAGTGGTTAAGAGGGCAGGCTCTGGCCAAGCGCTGTGGCTTAAACCTGTAATCCCAGCACTTTGGGAGGCCAACATGGGTGGACCACATTGCCTGAGGTCAGGAGTTTGAGACCAGCTTGACCACTATGGTAAAACTATCTCTAATAAAAACGCAAACATGGCCAGGCGTGGTGGCTCACGCCTGTAATCCAAGCGCTTTGGAGGCCAAGGCGGGCGGATCACCTGAGGTTGGGAGTTCAAGACCAGCCTGACCAACATGGTGAAACCCAATCTTTAAAAAAAAAATAAGCAAACATTAGCCAGGGGTGGCGGCGGGCACCCGTAATCCCAGCTACTCCAAAGGCTGAGACAGGAAAATAATTGCTTGAACCTGGGAGGC